TGATGCAAGATCCCCATCCTTCTGTCTCTGCCTCTTTCTCTGTAACTCTGCTTTAAAATAAAATTTTTAAATCTTAATAAAATAGAGAGGGTGAGAGAGTAGCCACAGTAAAGTCAACAGAGCAAAGCTACAGTTGTGCTGTCCCTCAGCAGCCTTCTGCCTTAAGTGGGAAGTCTCCAGCTTACAGACACTGACATAAAAGACACATCACAACACATTCCAAAACAAGAGATGAGAGGTTTACAAGGCATATTGACTTTATGATGACTTTCATTCATTAGGTACACTGGGTTTAGCTATATGCCTTTTGTGCAGCCAAGTTAACCCAGGGTCTAATTCAAAGAGACGTAATGAGGAAGATGTGCTGCCAGGGGAGAGAGCTGCAATATCCCACTGCTCTTGTAACATCATAAAGAGAAGGAAAAGAAACGGCGCCACGGCTCACTAGGCTAATCCTCCTCCTTGCGGCACCGGCACACTGGGTTCTAGTCCTGGTTGGGGTGCCGGATTCTGTCCCAGTTGCCCCTCTTCCAGGCCAGCCCTCTGCTATGGCCCGGGAGTGCAGTGGAGGATGGCCCAGGTGCTTGGGCCCTGCACCCCATGGGAGACCAGGAGAAGCACCTGCCTCCTGCCTTTGGATCAGCGTGGTGTGCCAGCCACGGTGGCCACTGGAGGGTGAAGCAACGGCAAAGGAAGACTTTCTCTCTGTCTCTTTCTCACTGTCCACTCTGCCTGTTTAAAAAAAAAAAGAGAGAGAGAGAGAGAGAGAGAAGGAAAAGGGCTACTTATGTCCATGGCTTATAAGGAGGACAGAAGCACGAAACATTTCAGAAAGGGGGAGCAAATTACAAATATAGTAATTTTAGGAAAATAAAAGGAAGTAAATTTCAGAATATATGTGGGGTAGAAACACACCATCAGCTCATCAATTCTCACAGGGATCCAGGAAACTGCCCTGCCTACCCACAGACCAAATGTTTCAAAACACATTTTTTGATTAATTCAGGAAGATTACGGGACTCAGCACTCTGGGTGTTCAAATGCCAAATTAAGTTTTAGTTTCCACTACGGGCAGATGTAGCCAATCAGATCATGAGAAAAACTTTTCCATAAGAAGGAACATGAAATATTCAGTCACACAGAATAACTGTGCTTAGTGTTCAAAGTGAACCCCAAGATAAGCACCCAGAAAACCTGTTAGTCTTGGGGCCAGCACAGTGGTGTAGCATGTAAATATTTATTTATTTATTTAAAAGGCAGAGTTACAGAGAGGCAGAGGACACAGAGAGAGGTCTTTCATGCACTGATTCACTCCCCCAAATGGCTGCAATGGCCAGAGCTGGATCTATCTGAAGCCAGGAGCCAGAAGCTTCTGTCAGGTCTCCCATGCGGTGCAGGAACCCAAGAACTTGGGCCATCTTCACTGCTTTCCCAGGCCATGCCAGGAAGCTGGATCTCAAACAAGCACCCATACGGGATGCCAGCACTGTAGGTGGCAGCCTCACCTGCCATGCCATAGTGCCAGTCCTCCAAATAATCCTATTTTAAAAAGCATTTTAAATGAGGGATGGGAGAGTTTGTTATCCAAAGCAAGGATAGCATAAGATAACTACTACACAGAAGAAGCTCCTGGCTCCTGGCTTTGGATTGGCACAGCTCCAACCACTGTAGCCAGTTGGGGAGTGAACCAGCATATGAAGACTTCTCTCTCTCTGCCTCTCCTCTCTGTAACTCTGACTTTCAAGTAAAATAATAAATCTTTAAAAAAAATAAGATAACTACTAGTACTCATTAACTTAAAAAATATGAAATTTAATGAAATTCAAAATATAACCAAATCATCATCTACTACACATTATAATCTTTATTTTGAGAGTCATATTAGAAAAAATTTAACCCCTCCCCCTCTTTGAAAAATGCACATGGGGACTGTGGTAGTAGGTTAAGCAGACCCTGGGCAGTGCCAGCACCCCACATGGGCACTGGTTCAAGACCTGGCTGCTTCATTTCCAATATAGCTCCCTACTAATTCACCTGGGAAAGCAGAGGATAATGGCCCAAGTGTTTGGGCCCCTGAAATCAAGTGTGAGAACCAGAAGAAGCTCCTAGCTTCTGGTTTTAGCCTGGCCCAGCCCAGGTCATTGTGGCCATTTGAGGAGTGAACCAATGGATGGAAGACCTCTCTGTGTCTCTCTGTAAATCTGCCTTTCAAGTAAATAAATGCATTAAAAATAAACCCTATACAATGTAGTATTTTGGTGATTCCCTCATACAAGGAAAGCTCAGATAAATTGTAGAGGAATCCTCCTGGCTTGATGCAATTCAGAAGGAGGATTGCTTCTGTCACCCTATGCTAGACATCAATGAGAGTTATTAATGGGAAGATGAATGGAACACTATCAGACTGCTTCCCTCACATGGCACCTTTTCTTAAAGGACATCACTGCTGCATTACCAGATTATGTCTCTCATGTGAAATATGTCTCTCCTAAAAATTTTAAAGAACTTGCCAGAAACTTATTGCAGAGCAGGGAATGATGTGCCAAGGACAGTGAGTTAGCCTGAGTAGTCCAGGAATCCTGTTCTTGGCTGTTTTCAAGTTCGTATACGTACACACAACATAGTTGCTGAGAAAGTGTCTTACAGTTGTTTCCTGGGTGTGAAGCAGCTCTTTCTCAGCAGAAACACATCACTGCTTGTCCACATCAGCAAGCACTGTGATAGGGAGTACATGGGAGAAAAGGTCAAAACACACTGGGTTTAGAGGAAGAATGCTGTCACCCTAGCAACCTCTATCCAGGATTCCCTTTCTATTCTTACTTCCTAGGTAACCTTACTATGCTAAATGAGTTTCACAGATTAGTAATCTGGTGACAACAGGACTCTAACAGATCTATGAATCACTCAGTTAATCAAGTGAAAACTTCATTACACTGAAAGTTAGTCTATAGCAATAGTTTTCAGGGCCACATTTCTCTTTTTTTAAAAGATGTTTATTTGAGAGGTAGAATTACAGATAGTGAGATGGATAGACAGACAGAAAGGTCTTCCTTCTGCTGGTTCACTCCCCAGTTGGTCAAAATGGCCAGAAGAGCTGCACTGATCTAAAGCCAGGAGCCAGGAGCTTCTTCTGGGTCTCCCACATGGGTGCAGAGGCCCAAGCACTTGGGCCATCTTCTACTGCCTTCCCAGGCCATAGCAGAGAGCTGGATCAGAGGAGCAGCTGGGACTCGAACTGGTTCCCATATGGGATGCTGGCACCACAGGCAGAGGATTAACCTACTGAGCCACAGTGCCAGCCCAAAGCCACATCTTTTACCGTACTGTGTGGGCATCTCTGTGGGGGAGAGGGGCACATTTTCTCTTTCTTCCTTACCCTCTTCACATTAACACCTTGTACAAAGGTCCACAGACCAGTCATTTTGAAAATCTATCACTAATATCCTCCCATGTTGAAAATGTCATGGGGTTAAACAGAACCCAGAATAAGAAAAGTAACTTGAAGTTGGTGTTGTGGCTGAGCGGGTAAAACCATATGGGTGCTGGTTTGAGACCTGGCTACTCCACTTCTGATCCAGCTCTCTGCTATGGCCTGGGAAAGCAGTGGAAGATGGCCCAAGTTCTTGGTCCCCTGTACCTGTGTGGGAGACCTGGAAGAAGGTCCTGGCTTCTGGCTTTAGATCCATGCAGTTCTCACCATTGTGACCATCTGGGGAGTGAACCAGCAGATGGGAGCTCTCTCTCTCTGTGTGTGTGTGTCTTTGCCTCACTGTAACTCTGCCTTTCAAATAAATAAAAAAATTTTTAAAAAGTAACCGGCCGGCGCTGTGGCTCACTTGGTTAATCCTCTGCCTGCAGTGCCGGCATCCCATATGCACCGGATTCTGTCCCATTTGCTCCTCTTCCAGTCCAGTTCTCTACTGTGGCCCAAGTGCTTGGGCCCCTGCACCTACGTGGAAGACCAGGAGGAAGCACCTGGCTCCCGCTTCAGATCAGCACAGCGCGCCAGCCATAGTGGCCATTTGGGGGGTGACCAGAAGGAAGACCTTCCTCTCTAACTCTGCCTGTCAAATTAAAAAAAAAAAGTAACTGGCCCCCTTAATTAAAACCGTATGGACTGTAAGATAATCAGCTTGGTGGAGCATTGAGTGACTGTAAAGAACTAGAGAAGAAAAATTGATACTTTTCTGTATTTATGTTTTGTAGCTCTCCACTATGAAAATCCAGATTGAAGTAGCTCATTAAACTCACACGGTAGACTTGCATTAATTTCAGTTCACTTCTCACTTTGCAAAGGGATTAGCAGCAGGTAATAAAAGTTGACATCCCTAATAACATGAGAAGAAAGAAGGGTTGAAGACAGAAATCGAAAGCAGGAAAATAAATCAGTATTTCCATGGCCTCAAGCTCCAGATTGAAAAAGAGTCTGTTAATTAAACACGGAGGAGCGATCAATCCACAAAGCTACTGCACAAGCTTCACGTGCTGCTGGGAAAGTCAGCCAAACACAGCGCCCCAGCTGAAAATGTGTCCGCGGGGTCCAGCATGGGGGCCAGGAGCCAGAGCCTACTCTGATCTTCCATCTCCACCTCTCCACTGCCTCAGGCTCTGGCTGAGGGCCACGAGCCCCGCCCAGCTGGAACTACCAGGGGATATAGCCGAGGCCAGCCACAAGGCATTCTCTGATCCACCCAAAGTGAGAACTGGGCTTATTTAAATCTATGGGACTCCTTCCTTCAGTGTGCTCTCAACTGCCCTGCTGGTGCTGTTCCTCGTCCAGTGTACTTTAAGGAGAATTTGAGCGAGGCAGCCCATGGGACCGGCCGTGCATCGGGAGACTGGGAAGCGGTGGTGGGAGACACAACACCTGAGCCCCAGACTTGACTCTGCCAGAGAAGCTCCCAGCATCACTGAGAAGCAAGTGATCGAGGTCTGGGAGCCGCCACCCGCCACCCTCCCCTCTCCCACACACACATCTGTGCCCCTCCTGTTCTCCATACTTGCTGTGGAAACTCTCGGGAGCACGTCCCCTTCCTTCAGGACACACGGGAGCAAAGCGGAGAGTGTGGGACAGGAGAAGTCGCTGGAACTTGGGGCCCACGGTGGCAGATGCAGAGGCACAGAAGCAGGGCGGCAGGTCTGGGGTGTGTGCTCCCGAACCGCCTGCAATTGCACTTGCACAGCAAGTCTCCCCAGTGAATGTGGGAGAAGGAGCAGCGCGGCCTCTCAGGGACCTCTCTGATCAGTAAAGAACTTCTGTTCCCAGCCCCGAGCCACAGGGAAAGGCACGCATGCGCACGTTCTCCCACATGCACACGCACAGGCTTCAGAGCAGGAAACGTTAGAGCACCGGGTGACTCTGGGAAATGGAGTCCAGGCCAGGGCATTCCTAGATAGACTTACTGGCCCTCTCCTAGGGCTTCAGTGCGGGGTGGGTGGAGACAGGCTGGGAACCAGAGAGCGTTTGCTTTTGTTTACATCCCTCCTTCCCTTCCTTCCCACCCCAGATCTCAAGGGTCAGCTGTTCTTCCTTTCTTGAACAAAATCTTAAGAAGTGACAGCCACTGCTGCTGAGTCCCAAATCCCGGTTCCCTCACACACGCTGTTTCCCTCAGGAAAATCCCCTGCTGCTTATTCCTGGACAGCTTCTCTCAAGTAACATGACAAGGATTTCAATGTAACTCTCAGCACAGGTGTACACGGCACAGTTTAACATCTAGATTTGAGAATAATTTTTACTTGTGTCTTTTATTTGTGGTTCTTTTCAAAGCATTTTACACCACCCTCTAATTCACCAAGTAAAAAAAAAAAAAAAAAAAAGAAAAAAAGAGAACTGGATACAGGACTAACATTGCCAAGTATCTTCTAGGCCAGATTAACAGAGTAAATGCCTTACTTTGTATCAATTATACCTTGGGTTAATTCTGGAGACCATATTCTCAATTTAAAGAGAAAGCTGAGGTGGAAAGAGATTAGAATTGAATTTGCCCATGGAAGTATGGTAAAAAAAAAAAAAAAGTCTAGGTTAAAGGCCAACCAACATGAAATATTGGTTTAAGAAGTCTTTCGGGACCAGCACTGTGGCATAGTGGGCTAAGCCTCCGCCTTCAGCACCGACATTCTATATGCTCTGCTGCTCTTCCAATACAGCTTTCTGCTGTAGCCTGGGAAAGCAGCAGAAGATGGCCCAAATGCCTGGGACCCTGCATCCACATCAGAGACCCAGAATTTCCTGGCTCCTGGCTTTGGATGCTTAACTATGGCTATTGCAGCCATTTGGGGAGTGAACCAGTGCATGGAAGACTTCTCTCTCTCTTCTCTCTCTCTCTCTCTCCCTCTGCCTCTCTGTAACTCTGCCTTTCAAATAAAAAAAAATCTTCTTTTAAAAAAGAAATATTTCTTTTATCTTGGAGCTCAGTTTCTAAAACCCCAGATTTCTCATCTCTAAAATAAAAAGTGAGGGAGAGGAAGAGTATCTACAATCCTAATCTTCACTGTAGAGAAACACATAGGATTATAACTTATCTAAAAAAGAAAGGAGGTTCAAAATTGCTATTGCTGTATGGTTATTTTTCTCATGCTTAATATCAAGATAGCATATAAATATTATGCATTCTTAGGTATATGTGTGGTGTTTGATTTTTAAGATTTTAAGTAGAAATGTAAATGGAAGCAGGATGACATGGAGTTCTGTTTGTGATTACTTCTGTCAATTATAATTCATGGGATTAGAATTGCTGGATTAGGAATGCTTAAATGTATCCATTCATTTCACACTAATGTTTATTATGTCAGGTGATATTCTTTGTGTAGACTGCTTTTTCTTGCCAGATTGAAAATTCAGGAGGGCAAGAAACATGTTTGCTTTGACATTGAAACTCAGCATCTTGATAGAGTCATTCTTTTAGTTGAATGATAAATGAGGCTATAAAAATTAAACAAATACAATTTCTGATCCCCAATAACTACCTAGTTGAAGAGATAATGAAATAGATATCTATTTGATAAACACACAATTAGATGAATGTATAATTTGTTGCTCAGAGACAACTTTGATAATAAAAGAGACATATTCATAATGACACAGGGTTGAAATGTATAAACAGAAACCATCCAGGGCCAAGCAGGTTAAATGTTCACCCTAGCTTTGTAAGGCATTCCATTCATTATTTAGTAAGCATTTACTGAGCATTCTTTTGTGTGGTGTGTTGAAAGAACTACCAGCCACATGATTTTCCTAGTTATTGGAGTAAGAGAACCTGAGCAATCAGAAAAATGTTTGGATGAACTAAGAGGCTTTACACAAAGGTAAGAAAAACAAAAAGCAGAGAGGTCAATTAAAAAGTATATCAAAGGTAATTTAGTAGGACCTGAACCAAGGTATGGTGGTAGTGGGAATGAAGAAGAGGCAACAGATTACAGGGAGATCCAAAAGGCAGAAACAACAGGATTTCAATGGTAGATGAAGGCAGGAGGGAACTCATGTGTAAATCTTCATTTGGATTTTATTATTTAATGGACAAGGAGTTCTCAGTACATTCATGTTCATCAGTAATTAAAGGCTACCTCCAACTGACATAAACTTCCCCTAAATCCAGACACAATCTCATGGGTAGCTACTATCTATAAGCCTTATGTTGATCATCAAGCCAAATATTTTTCACTGCTACAATCTACAATGGTCCTCATTATGATGCAGTTACTTAGAAACTAAAGACATAATCCATTTCTATAAGAAAGGTCTAAATAAAAAAGTAAAATTCAGGGGCTGGCGCTGTGGCAGCAGGTTAACACCCAGGCCTGAATGCCGGCATCCCATATGGGCCCCTGTTCAAGACCTGGCTGCTCCACTTTCAATCCAGCTCTCTGCTATGGCCTGGGAAAGCAGTAGAGGATACTTGGTCCCCTGCACCCACATGGGAGACCTGGAGGAAGCTCCTGGCTGCTGGCTTTGAATCAGCACACTTCTGGCCATTGTGGCCAATTGGAGAGTGAACCATCAGATAGAAGACCTCTCTCTCTCTCTCTCTCTCTCTCTGCCTCCCTCTCTCTGTGTAACTCTGATTTTGAAATAAATAAGCTAATAAATTTTTTAAAAAGGAGTAGTAATGCTCAATATTATAAAAAGGCCAGCGCCGTGGCTCAATAGGCTAATCCTCCAACTTGTGGCGCCGGCACACGGATTCTAGTCCGGTCGGCGCCAGATTCTGTCCGGTTGCCCCTCTTCCAGGCCAGCTCTCTGCTGTGGCCGGGAGTGCAGTGGAGGGGCCCAAGTGCTTGGGCCCTGCACCCCATGGGAGACCAGGAGAAGCACCTGGCTCCTGCCTTCGGATCAGGCGGTGCGCCGGCCGAAGCACTGGCCTCGCGGCCATGGGAGGGTTTAACCAATGGTAAAAGGAAGACCTTTCTCTCTATCTCTCTCTCTCACTGTCCACTCTGCCTGTCAAAAAAAAAATTTATAAAAAAAGTTAAGTTAAAAAACCCACAAAATCATATATTTCAAAGCTAAATTTGGAATACCTCACTAATTCACAATTTATAGATTCATCAACCTTAGGTAACTAAAGCACAATTAAGCAGGAAAGAAGTAAAAAAAATTCCTTGGGGAGGGGCCAGCACTATGGCATTGTGGGTAAAGCTGCCACCTGCAGTGTGGCATCCCATATGGGCATCGGTTCAAGTCCTGGCTGCTCCACTTCTGATCCAGCTCTCTGCTATGGCCTGGGAAAGCAGTAGAAGATGACCCAAGGCCTTGGGCCCCTGCACCCATGTGGGAACCTGGAAGAGGCTCCTGGCTCCTGGCTTCAGATTGACACAGCTCCGACCATAGCAGCCAATTGGGAATGAACCAACGGATGGAGGACCTTTCCCTCTCTTCCTTCTCTCTTTCTGTAACTATTTCAAATAAATAAATAAATCTTTAAAAAAACAATTTCCTGGAATAGCCAAAATGCACATTATAAAGTCCAAGTAAGGTGTCTAGCCACTGGCTCTCATATCATGACTCATAAAAACTCACTGTCCTGGCTACTCTGATATGAGTGGATGGACACAAAGCAGAAAAGAAAGCAATAGGTTTGAGCAGTGAATAAATGGAAAGGGCTCCAACAACAATGCTGCAGAGCTCTGTGGCTCCTAACTGAATGGGATATGCAGGCAGGCATCTCCTTAATTCTGCCATGCTCTCAGTTGTCATAGGACCATAGAACTGAGCACAAGAATCAGAGCTTTCAAGGCCAACATCCACAATTCACTTAGTGATAGTGGAGCTCTGTAGCTTCGCTTCATGAGTACAACTAAACCTCCACACTTGATATGTCATCCTGTTAGGATCCACTGGAACTGGAGAGTGTATGGGGTCAGAGGGAGTAGAGGAGCATGGTGTGTGGGTCTCATGGTGGTGGTAGCTGTGCAGAGGGAGGGGTGGAGGAGGAGAAGAGCAAGAGCCCCTAGCACTGTGGGAACGAGGAGCAAGGAGGAAGGGAGACAGGGGTGACTTGTCTGCATTATGCCTGGTACTCTCCTGGGTATGATTGATGCAATACGAATAATGTGAATATCATGATTACCCTAAGGTGATTTCAGTCCTGGTGGACAAATGACAAGGACATAGATAATTAAAAACAATGTGACAAAAGTTGTGGGTGCAGAATACAATCACCTACATCATTTGTGGATGCCATGCCCATCAGGCAGGAACCCACCAGGTTAAGGTCAGATCTCAGGGCTGGCATTGTGGTGTAGAGGGTAAAGCTACCCCCAACAGTGCCAGCATCCCATATGGGCACTGGTTCAATTCCCAGCTGCTCCACTTCTGATCCAGAACTCTGCGGTGGACTGGGAAAGCAGATGGCACAAGCCCTTGGGCCCCTGCACCCTCATGGGAAGACCTGGAGGAATCTCCTGGCTCCTGGGTTCTGAGCAGTGCAGCTCCAGCTATTGCAGCCACCAACTGTGAAGTGAACCAGTGTATGGAAGACCTCTTCTCTCTCTGCCTCTCCTTCTATCTCTGTGTAACTCTGACTTTCAAATAAATAAATAAATCTTTTTTTAAAAAAGAGTCAGATCTCAGAGGTAGCAGAGCCCAGAAATGACACCTTGTATGAAATGAAAATAGGCAGATGGTAGGTAGAAGCTTGGTAACTAAAGCTGGGATCAGCACATGGATCTTGACTGGCAGGCTGTCAAACCAATCATCAACTTGGACTAGGCTGGGATCTCCCAACTTCTATCCTAGTGCCCAT